TTTATACAAGGGTAAGTTTAAAAATCTAGAAATAACTTTGACTTCCCAAAGTTCAGACGGAGGTTGCAGGTTCGATCCCTGCCATGCCTCAGTGGATGCTTTGGGGCTGATTGTCGGTTCCCTGGTCTTGCCTTGATGGATGGTGCACGGTCCGCTGGCAGGGGTTGAATCCGCTGTCCTGTGCCAGGATGATTGGGGACTGATTGTCGGTTCTCTGTTCCACCGGTTCACTCCTTGAGCCTAGATGGAAGGTTCGTGCTCCACTAGTGTGGCCTGGGCCCGTTGTCTCGTGCCAATGATAAGGTTGCAGCGGGTATCGCTCTGAGGCATCTGCTGTTGGTTGGCTGGGGGGTTGGGTCTGTGCTTCCTGTTTGCAACCCAACACCTAGGCTACAATGCTTTCACTTATTAGGGTCAGGTACCCCTTGGGGGGATGGCCCAATAAATTGCACCCGTTGGGGGTAGGCAGTTCTTCATGAGAACGAAAGGGCTGCTCGCAGCACCTCAGGGGAACTAAGGGTGACACCTGTGCGTCTGGGTACCGTAAAGGTCTCCCGGTGCGGGATGCTCTTAGCCATTGACCCTGGGATGAGGTGGGTTGGTCCCTCCGATCTTGAGCTGAAATGCCAATTGCCCTACCTCAAACATGTCCAATTAAAAAAAAAAAAAAAAAAAAAAAGTCAAAATATGACTAACTCCTTGGTTTTGTAGAAATTTCGGCAACGCTTCCCGTAGAGAAAGTAGCTTACCAACATTTATACAAGACCAAGTATAACAAATGATCCAAGAAAATGTGAAAATTGACCTAAGTAAAAGAAAGTTAGCTCAGAAAATGCAGCAATTGAACCAACTCCTATAGCTCTAGCACATGGCGAGCATCTAAACTTAAGCCAGGTAGTGATCTCACTCAGTCACATGGAAGGCAAAACCTCAAAGGGAAGTACTCTCACCATCCCCAAGTTAATCTTGTCAAACAAATAGTTCGTAGTCTTTCAATGATTTATCCCTTATACCCAACTTACATAAGGCATAAAGCTAGACCACCCAAACTTATGGAACAATGTATAGCTCAGCCATTAGATATACACAAACACAGAGCACTACAACTTTTCTCTTCCTTGGGCATATGACTAGGTTGTCCATCCTAGTCGCCCTGAACTATTTAAGTATCCAAGTTATATATAATTAGCTACACTTAATCTTTTAAGGTAACATATGACTGAACCGATCATCTTAGCTCAAGGTTCAGCCACAAGTTTATTCTTAATTCATACTCTCTTCAGTTGTGATAAGCTATAGTCAGACCACCCAAACTTATGGGACAGTGTCTGACTAGTCTGTTCATAGGTAAAATAGTAGTAAAATATAGTCAAGTTATAACCTTTTGGTTCCTGCATGTGCGTGGCATTGGACCAAGACCACCTAAACTTATGGAACATGTTTGGTCCTCCGCCTGATCTATCCCTTAATAGTGAAGTAGGAAGAGGTTGAGCCACCCAAACTTATGAAACAATGCTCAGACCCCCTCGTTCAAAACCAAAAGAAACCGGGAAAACCCAAAATAAGCAAGGCAACCAAGCCACCCAAACTTATGGGACAATGCTCGGTTCCCAAAAAGTCAACCACAGACAACCCTCGCAAGTCAGAGCAACTAGACCACCTAAACTTATGGAACATGTCTGGTCCTCCAGGTAACTCAAACATAAACATAGCACTGGGTCCCCCCAAACTTATGGAGACTTCCCCAACCTTTGATTGACCCAGTCAGACACAAACAATATAACCTTCCTCCCATCTTTCCCCCAGATGCACTCCCTTTTTCACAATCTTCTTTCAGTCAAACAACAAAAACTAAAACTGAATTTGGACAAACTTTCCTTTATCAAGTCTAGTTTGTGTCCTGAAAGTCAGACTGAAAGTCAAAGTAGGGGTGCACGTTATATACTCTGTCAACCATAGCAAGAAGTACAGATAAGGGTTATAACTGGGTTTATAAGAGAGGATGAAGGTTTACCTCTCAGTTCCCTGCCTCTGAAACTCCTCCAGAGTTCTGGCAAAGCTCCGGCAATCAGTGGGCAGACTCCCCACAGAGTCTTGCTGCGGTCCTACGGGTTGCAATCCAATCTGTCGCCTTCCTCTCTGAACAAGACTAGACTTAGAGTAAGAAGGGCATAAGATAATGCAGTAACCCTATTCAGAAGCAGTGTGGCCCAGAACTCAGCCCCAGGCCATGCAGACCTGAGTCGGTCTGCACTGGGTTGTGTGACCAAGACACGCCCAGGCCCGAGTCTGCTGCATTTGGATGTGTGACCAAACGCTGCACACTGGAAATTCAAGGGTCAAAGTCAACTGTAGAGTCAAAGGTACCGTGCCCAGACCCTTGGTTGGATACACTCACTTGTTGTGCGCAGGTACCCAGACAACATCCAAGCCGGAGGGAATTCGGTTGCAGTCCAATCTGGGTCCTCGTTCACATGGAGATCTGGACGGCTGAGTGACGCAGCATCCGGGGTCCAGACCCCGTGTCAACGCTACATAAGCGCTCACCTCCTGGCTTTGACATTCATTCATTCTGTGACGCTGACTTCATGCGTTGACTACAACGCTGGCTCGACGCTGCTACGTTGGTTGGACTCCGCGAGGCTCGCTGGACGCTGGCTATGTTGGAATTGTGATTTCGGCAACGCGCTGCTTGTCCGACATGGTGGCTGGCTTGCACCTGTCTTCTTGGTATGCTGACGCGGCAGCTACCACGCGCTGTTGCTGATGTGGCCACTACCACGTGTATACTGCTGATGTGGCGAGGCTACGGACTGGTATTGCTGTTCTGAAGATCGTCATTCTGGAGAAGATCAGGACTGTGGAGGATCGTAATACGTACCTGTTGTCTTCATGTCGACATTGCTCTAGTGCTGATAAGATACTGATTAGACGTGCCACGTGGCACATTGTAGGACTTCATTCAGACTATTGATTCTTGAGGTGTTGATTGAGGAGGGAGCCCGAAGTAGGAGTGGGCATTGTACTTTTCTCTCCCTTGTCTAATCTCCCTCCTCTCTCTTCGTTTGTGTATGATTTCCTCATCCCATTCTGTCTGGTCACGATTTTGATTGTTGGTAATTATCAGTGGCTCGGTATTCTGGACTTGCATTGTTGACGAGTGTCTTCACGATGTGGGTTCATTGCAATTTGGTATCGGAGCAGTTCTCCTGACGACGACATTGTACACATGTGCACGCGCTAGGTGGCGCGCAGGTAAGTGTAATGCACACGTGACTCGAGTAGGTGATGACGTGGCGAGAAGACATTGCCAGGGGTGCTGACGTGGCACAGACTTCACTGGAGATAAGACATTGTCGGGGGTGCTGACGAGGTACAGACTTCATTGGCGAGAAGAGACCCCTACCTACCTGCTGACGTGGCAGTAGGGACCGCGACCACGGATACCGCATGCCAGCCAGGATCGCGATAGTGACGAGGTACCGCGATCTCATGCTGACGTGGCACATATAGTGCTGCGTCTGAAGACCCTGTTGATTGCTGATGTGGCAGTTCTTGTGCTGCTGACACGCAACAGGGTCTACTGCAGATGCTGACGTGGCTGGAAAGAGTTATCACACCTGTCTTATGAGGTGGTGACTACGTGCTGACGTGGCAACAGACCCGTTGACGTGGCATGATCTGACTGGCTGGACGGCGACGATATCTCAACGTGACGCGCAGAAGTGGCACGTGGCGAGGGTCAGACTACACATTTGCTGACAAGGCATCCCGTTATTAACAGACTGGGCACGGTACAAAGTGCTGACGTGGCAACATTTGCTATGTTGGCACTCCAGGGATGACACGTGGCATGCAGGATACTGTCATGTAAGAGGTGCATTCTAAAGACGACGGCGGCACAACTGACTGGACTAATTACACAGCTGTAGTGCCAGCTGTCAGGGAGAGTGCGTGATCGCACTGACATCAAGAAGACACAGCAGACTGATAAAGGTTGATGAAAAACTGTTTTGTGGTTGTTGTTGGCATACTTACCTGTTGTTGGTGTGTGTGGTGTTTGCGTACTTGTGTTGTGTCTGATCACACAGGCCTAACGCGGTACCTGTACACCAGGACGTCATCACACAGACAAAAGAACAGCAATTAGTAAAAAGAGAGATTTGTTCCTTTTTATTATTTCTTTTTAGTTTTTTGTTCCATCATTGCGAATATTGTCTCAAATCTGATTTCCAAAATGTTTGGTGTGTGGAAATTGCTCTTGCTTCTTTTCCCAATGACATTCTTAGCGGGTGAAGGATCTTCCGATCCTAAGACTAGGAGACAGGCGGAAACAAAGAAACAAGAATTTCTGGCTCTATGGAACCAGCTGTTGAATGATTTGCATTTGTCCGGACCGGACGCTGAACGACACCTTCCTAATCTGTTTGATTTAAAGACGGTAGAGGACCATCGGAAACAAGCAATTACGACCGCGGAAGTTTTAGCTGCCGGTGCCGGAGTGTCTAAGATGATGGCCCAGTGCCGGAAGGCTCTGGACCAGTTTGCTATCAAACAGCTGGACGAAGTCATGGAGTTGTCTAAAAAGGGGGAAATCAGACCAGAAGTGACCGTGGCTACCATCGATGTGAACATCCAGCAATTAAGAGAGGCGTTGGCTGCAGAAGAAAGGAAGAGAGAAGAACTAGCCCGGAAACAGGAACATGAACTGAGGCGGGAACATAAAGTGAAAGAAATAAGATAAGTGATAGGAACGGAAGGAAAAAAACAGATTGACATGACACTGACATTGTATCATATCATGACTTACCTCACCTTCTTAGAAGAATAGATTGACAAACAACAAAGTCAGTTAGACGAAATTGTTGTAGGATTGCGAACTGTCACAAATATTGTGAAAGGGAAGCATCCGGCAGGAGAAAAAGAAAAAGAGGTTAAGGAAGAAAAGAAAGAAGTCAAGAAGTTAATGAGTGATGCAATGAAGTTTGTTGTTTCTCAAGATCAGAAAACGTCTAATGGAGGAGGGAAGCCGTCTAATGGAGGCGTCGTCTTCTCCACCGAACACTCCTCCTTCTCCTCCCTCCTCTCCACCTCCGCAGCCTCCAGTTTCTCTGCAAGGTAAGGTAAGTACGGAACCGGAGAAGCCGAAAAGAAAAGAAAAAGTGAAGATGAAATTGCCATTTACGTTTTGCAACAAGAAGGATGAGAACTTGTTGCTCTGGATCGCGGAAATTCAGACATACTGTAGCACGGCCCCTGTTGAACTTGAATCCCAGGTTGCTTTCTCTACCTCTTGTCTTGGGGGGGAAGCTAAGGGATGGGTATTGGCTGAAGCTAACGCTGCAGGGTTTGATGACATTGGTGAATGGGCTAGGACATTGACCCTGAAGCAGTTCCTTGGCAAGATCAAGGAATGTTTCCTCGACAAGACAACGGCCAATAAGGCCTTCGACCAGCTCACCACCATTGGCCAGAGACATTGGACCTCTGTGGAAGCTTTGTCTCGGGAAGTTGATCGGTTGCTGCAGGTTCCTGGATTGAACCTGCAAGATAACCAAGTCTTGTATATCTATTCCCGCGCTCTGCCCGAGCCCATCCGTGGACAACTCGTGGCAGAATCGAAATCCGGAAAGTATAGTTATAGGCAGTTTCGCGATTTGGCTATCCAGCGAGAGCAAATGACTTCACAGGTGAAGAACTCGTATGCCTCTTAGTAAAGTATGGCGGTGGAGGAGGCGCAGGCGTAGGTAAGCGGGTACTCTGGCGCCAAAAGCGTCAGGACTACACCCTCGTCGTCTTTGATGACGATACTGTGGAGAAGTGGCCATTGGAGGTCGAGGGTGTGGCGAGCAGCAATGATTCTGGGAAGGGGGAAGTCACTTATGCCGTGGTCAACAATGGAGGACCACGACCACCAGGAAAGAAGAAGAAGTCACGCTCGTTTCCCGAACATCCCAGAATTGCAGTCGGGAGGCCATGGGAAAAGATGGGGATATCATAGGAATTGTGGCAAGAACGGATGAACAATGCGCAATGTTTGAAGTGTGGTATCGCAGGATACGTGATTGCCTGGTGCCCACTCATCTGTAACCCAAAAGCGAGCAGCCAGTAGGAGTAGCATCTGCTCCTACTGAGTTAAAGGGTTTGGACCAAGAAGAAGGTAAGGCGCCTACGATCCCTTCCAACCCTTAGACTCGCACATGGTTCTTCTTCGACCCATCGTCCAGAGCACCGTGGACCTATCTTATGCATTGTCTCTCTGGACGACTCTCTTGACGAGCTTGGTAACGAGTTGCTGGCATTACGAAGCTCGTGGGCTAAGAAAGCAAAGTTTAAGGGTGACCTACTACTCGCGGACGTAGAGATTGCACATACCCGTGCAGGTGCTCTGATGGACTCAGGATCCACGCGATCCTACATATCCAATAAAGCAATCCGCAAATTGCATCTCGGAATGATGGTAAAGAATCTGTCTCGACCAATCACGTTTATCTGAGCTGACAAAAGCATGATCACTGTCTCACAATATGTTGATCGTGTGAAGTGTCGATTTCGTACCAAGAAAGGAAAGAAAATTATTCACGAGGTTTCCTTCCTTGTAGAAAAGAAGTTACCTTTCGATTTGATTCTGGGAATGGACAGGCATGAGGAAGCCAACCCAGATATCAATTTCAAAGAGAAGATTGTGCAATTGCGAGATGCACACTCTGAATTGAAACCTATCAAACTGTATCATAAGTCTGACTCTGACTTTAGTCTGTCTTTCTGTTGTATGAGTTATTCAGCATTCAGATCAAAGAAAAGTTTGGAACAGGAAGTAATGATGGTATTGGTAAAGAAAGCAGGTGAGTCTTCTACTTCCTATCCTCCTTCGATCGAAAAACTCCTCAGCGAGTATAAAGAATTATTTATCGAACCCACAGGAATAATTGAACTTGCCATCGAGCACACAATTGAAATTATTCCTGGCAGTAAGATTCCCAAGGGCTCTATATATCGCATGTCTTCCAGGGAACTTGAGGAACTAAGGAAACAACTGCAAGACTTAACAGAGAAAGGATGGATTCGCCCTAGTTCCTCCCCTTATGGTGCCCCTGTCTTGTTTGTGCCCAAAAAGGAAGGTGAGTTGCGTCTCTGCATTGACTATAGAGGGTTGAATGTTGTCACTAAGAATGCCGAACCTCTACCACGAATTGACGACTTACTTGACCAACTACAAGGATGCAGGTATTTTAGCAAGATCGACCTACAGTCTGGGTATCACCAGATCGAGGTGGAACCCTCTGATCAGCATAAGACTGCTTTCCGGACCAGGTATGGCCACTACGAGTTTGTGGTAATGCCCTTCGGACTAACGAATGGCCCTGCTACCTTTCAAAGGTCAATGAATGACTTGTTTCGTCAATGGTTGGATAAGTTTGTCATTGTCTACCTCGATGATATTCTAGTGTACAGCAAAACACTAGACGATCATGAGAAGCACCTTCATCTGGTACTTGGGAAGTTGTGTGAGGGCAACTTCAAGATTAACCCCAAGAAATCTGAGTTTGCTAAGTCCGAAGTGTTATACTTAGGACACATAGTGAATGAAGAAGGTCTAAGGCCGGAGAGAAAAAGATTTCAGCAATTAGAGATTGGCCACAACCTAAGTCTATAACTGAATTGCGATCTTTCCTTGGTTTAGCTAGTTACTACAGGAAGTTTGTTAGGAACTTCTCATTGATTGGTGCACCAATGAGAAGATTGTTAAAGAAAGAAACAATTTGGTTGTGGGATAAGGCCTTTCGGAAATTGAAGTATACACTAACTCACGACCCTGTCCTTAAGATTGTTGACCCGTCCTTGCCTTTCATTGTTACTACTGACGCGAGTCAGTATGGGATTGGCGTTGTTCTTCAACAGGATGATGGCAAGGGCTATAGGCCCATAGAGTTATGTCTACACGACTGTCGTCAGAGAAGGTTGCCAACTCCACCTAGGGACAGGAACTTTATGCCTTGGTCTGTGCGTTGGATATGTGGAGACACTACCTGCTAGGGAAACACTTTACTGTGTATTCAGACCACTTGACACTATAGTGGATAAAAACACAGTCAAGACTCTCTGACAAGTTGGTAAGATGGTCTGCCTTCATTGACACCTTTGACTTTGAGCTTAAAACTATCAAAGGTAAGTCAAATGTGGTTGCAGATGCTTTATCCCGACGCAATGACTTCTTTGGTACAATTGTCTCATACTTGGATATTGGGAATGATTTAAAAGACCAGATTCGTCAAGGATACACTACTGATCCAATTTGGAAGCTAATCATGGATGTCCTTGTACGAGATCCTTCTCAATTATCAAACTATAGAATAGTCGATGGTTTGCTTTTCTTGATAGATCAAACAGAACAAAGATTGTGTATTCCTCACCAAGAAAGAATTAAGAGTATGTTGATTGGGGAATGCCACGACTTTGAAGGACATTTTGGATTCAAGAAAACTTATGCAGAGGTTAGAGAACGCTTCGAATGGAAGGGATTAAAAGAAGATGTACTAACTTATGTATGTGCCTGTCTGGTGTGTCAGAGAAACAAGCTGATGCATGAGAATCCTCTTGGACTTCTCAGACCATTACCTAAACCAAACGAACCAGGTGAGTCCATCCTAATTGACTTTATGAGTTTGGTTAAAAGTCGCAACGGTAATAGTCAAGTAATGGTGATTGTGGACCGTTTCTCTACATATGCCATGTTTATTCCCTTACCTGTTGAAGCAAGGACTGAACTTGTGATTCAGAAATTTCAGATGAAATGGGTAACTGAGTATGGTTTTCGTTTATCCATTGTATCTGATCGAGATACCCGATTCACAAGTATGCCATGGCAAAAGCTGATGGAGGCATACGACACACGTTTGACCATGTTGTCAGGGCGACACCCTGAAACGAATGGGCAAAGTGAACGAATGAACCGATTGTGCCAACAACTTCTGCGCATGTATGTAAGACCTGATCAAATTGATTGGGATGAGAACTTACCCAAGATAGTCAGAGCATATAATAGCAGTGTCCACACCGCTACAAGACGAACGCCTAATGCACTACACAAGGGATGGAAACCTAGGCGTCCCATTGATGTGTTAACACGGGACCAATTCCTTAGGCTACCACCAGGGACACGAGAATATGCAGTTTTATTTCAAGAAGACATAAAGAAAGTAAAAGAAAACTTAAAGAAAGCTCAAGACCAAATGATTGAACAAGCTAATAAGCATAGAAGACCATCCACATTTAAAGAGGGTGATCTGGTCTGGGTTAAATCCAAAGAGTTTTCATCAGAAGAAGATGTATCTCAAAAATTGTTGCCTGTCTACTTTGGACCCTGGGAAGTTCTCAAAGTCATTGGAGATGTGGAGGGACCGTCTTATCGCATTGATATTCCCCCTCATCTCAAAACATATCCTGTCTTTCACGCGTCCAAAACGTTGCCCTATATAGAAGGGAAAAAATTTCCTAACAGACCCTCTATGATTCCGCCATCTATGGAAGGCAGATATGAAGTAGAAAAAATCATAGAGCATGGATACTTCTCTACGGGAGCACGTGGACGACCTCAGAAGCAGTTCAAGGTACGTTTTAAGTCTCAGGCACCATCTGAGGACAGATGGTTTAGTAAAAGAGAACTACTTGAAACTGCTATTGATATTGTTGTTGCTTA